CTTTGGACTGTATTGGTGGGCACTCTGCAAGTGTAGTGTAAGGGAGAAGGGTAGCAGAAAGATGCCTGCGATATATTTTCACTTTATGACTTAATCCAGAATACGTTTCAAAAAACATTAAAGTGAGTTGGCACACTTCAGCTCTGTCCTGCTTTTTTATTTTCAAGAGCAAAAGCACGGGAGTACTTTTTAAAAGATGGACTGTGGTGTTTGAGAGACCAGTTACTATTTTTCCAAAGTATACTGTTGTTTCGCAGTCTTAAAGACCTGCAGGGAGAAAACAGTTTTTATTTCGGCACTGTACACAGTTGCACGTATAATAGCTGATGTTTCTTGAGGTTAATGTGAGCTGAGGTATCAATAAGATCTGGTGGGTTGTATGGCACAAAGAGGTTGGTAACGGATTGATACTCCCAATTAATTGCTGGAGGTGGGATGGACCTTTACAAGCAAACAGCCATAGCTCTCCTTCTCCTGAAGTTCTCCTTTGTAATGCTGCCAAGAGTTTGTTCTCTTTGGTGGCCAAAAGAGCAGAACTAGATTTAAGAAAATAAGAAGTAGTATTTAAACAATTTAAAGATGAGGCAAAGCTCAGATTGAAAGGAGGAAAAGAAGGTAGAAATGTTGAAATGAAATTGATTACTAAAATAATGATCAAAATGTAATTAAAAATGCAAAGCATCGTTCAAACCCAAATAGTAGTATATAAATCAATCATGGCAATCAAAATCTAGATTTCTGACTTTCAAAGGTAAAGCAATAAGCATAAGAACAAACAGGCTCCTAATGGTACGTCAGACAAAGAAATGACCATGAGACTTATCTGAGCGTCGCTGTGCTGGAATTACTACCCAGGATCTTGCCACTGTGAATGACACCCACAGTTGTCGTCTTAAGATGCAGAAAGAGATGCTGTGTTCTTTGGTCAGTAGGAAAAACTCTTCCTGCACTTGTGCTGCTCTCATCTGCAGAACTGCTGTGCGTCATGGGTTGTGTGGATCTGAAAGCACAGATGGGCCTGGCGTGTACTCACGCCTCTGGTCTGATTATCGGTGGCGTTGATGATGAATGGGGTCAGACCTGCCGTGGGCATCAAGGTGATGGTAACCCGCACAGAAAGGAGCCTTTCTCTGCGGTTGGTTTTGGAAGTCAGGAGAAGGCCAGCTGATGAGACATCAAATACAATGCACTAGATTTAGAAAAGAGAAAATGAAACGGCAAACCTGTCTGCAACCATCACTGGAAGCAAATGACAGCGAAATTGTTCAAGTTGACTAGAAATGCGAATGACTTACAAGTATATACTGACGATGATTGGAGAGAGGGAAAAGATACCAGAGAGATTAAAGGACTTAAAAGTCTGAAGGGGAGGAAACCCCTCAATGACTCCCCTCCCTATCTCCTGGAAGGGACGTAAAGACATAAGCAGCTCAGACAGATTAGACCAAAGAGATTAAGAAGGAGTGACAGGGGAAATGTAAGGAACTACTCCCTGTAAAAAAAAAAAAAAAAAAGTGGTGGATAAAAGTGCAAAATGGGTCTTAAAAATAGATAATGGTAATGTACGGGCACACACTGTGGTAATTCATAGCCTTAGTCGGGCCAGAAAAGATCTTTATAAATATAATGTTGTTAAATGGAACCTACTATTTAGCTTCTATATCATGTAGCGTTGTCTCCATATCATCTCTGATTCAGCCAAAACACTTGTTATGTTTTTAAGTTGGAGTATGCAAAAGAATTGTGTTCGTAAGTCCTATTATATTTAATAGAAATTTATCACATACTTATTTCAAGTGTTTTGCTGAATAGTAGTCTTAAAAAGAGAGTGAAAGATGTAGCTGTCATGAATATTTATGGAGTGGCTTGTACTAATGAAGAAAATTTTAGATATATGAAGAGATTCTAATACTCTGTTTCAGAACAACAAATGTTTTTTTTTCTTATTAACTGCAAATCTGTTCAGGAATATGAAAACCAATGTACTGCAGAAGCCAAGTTTGTAAAACAGTTGGATCAGTGTGAGATGATACTGCAAGCATTTGAGTACGAAGAGTTGGAAAACACACCTGGCAGGCTGCAGGATTTTTACGATTCAACTGCTGGTATGACATTTGGGCTTTCTTTTCCTTTTTTTTTCCTTCCCTTTCATAGACGAAATGAAATACGTAAATTGCCTTTTTTTCTGATAGACATTCAGAGCAAGTGAGAACTAGTTATTTTACTCATTGCTCAAGTACCCTAAATATTTCTGGGGAAAGTTACCACAGTGTGAACTTACCTTACATTTCTTTGTATGTATTGAACCTGAATCTCATTTATGCCAAGTTCCTCTTATATCACTTTGGACACATAGAGGCCCAACTTTCATGGATCTCCCTGTACCATCAGAGGGGGTATAAAGGAGGCTTCACTCTTCACTGATGCTCTGACAGCAGCATGTTTCTACTTTGTTAGTGTTTCATGAACCAGTGAAGTAGAATTTGTTAGCCCTATGTGAGCTGTGGTCTTGTGTGACCTGCCCAAGGTACATGTGAGAACCAGCTCAGTGAAGTTTTAGGTGCAACTGTATTACTTTTTATTCTATCCACTGCTTTTCATCCTTTCCAAAATGAACTGATAGTGGAAAGGAAAAGTAGGTAAAATAATAGTCTTTATTGTTTTAGCAAGGGAGTTGAACACCAGAAGACGACTGTGACTCCAAGTCATCCTGTCCTGGGAAAAAACTAGGGACAGACAAACTCGGGGAGAGGACCAGCAATCACCGGACACGGTCCCTGACAAGTCCCGTTTACACTTTGGTGACTCCTTAGGGAAATAATAAGCTCTCTGAAAAATGCAGTGATTTGATAGGGAAGAAGGGAAAAAAAGGACAACATCAGCATAGCTGGAATACTGAGTTTTTCTAATTGACATCTTTGCCCTCCTACTAGAACTCAGTAACTTCAGCTAAGCTAGCGTCTCAGTCGAGCCTAGAGCATATACCCTGCGTGCACCTGTAATTGGGATGGTTTCCTGTAGCTAGATACATAGCATGGGACTGTCCTGGTCAGGGTGCATCCTTTTCTCAGCTTTTAAGTGTCTTAATAGAGCATGAAATATTTTTATAAGTTTTTGGGGAAAAATAGCTGTAACTACTCTTAGTTATTCCATAGTTGGAATAAAATGGGAGTAGTCTCTTTCTTAGAAAAATAACTTGGTGTTTATTTTGAGCCTAAAGCAACATCACTGCTAACCTTTCACCGCCAACCTTTCACACATAGGAAAATCAGAACATTTTTAATTAACTTTCCCTTTCTTTTGTCTTGCAGGAAAGTTTGTTCACCCAGAAATACTGCAGCTTGTATCTCTGATTAACACAGAAAGGAATAAAAAAATAGCTGCTACATCTCATCCACATTCCTGAGGTGTTCCTAAATGCTGTAGCTATAATAAATATTTTGTTTTATATTCTGTGCATCATTTTTTCTACCATAACATCACTGACTCTGCCAGCAGATTTTTTTTCTGTGCATTCACTGCCAAGAACCCCAGGACCACTTAGGTAGGAACAGGTAGGATAGTTACCTCGCAGATTAGAGGTTTTGTCAAGGACCAAACTCATTAGAATGAGTTTATTTAGGTTTTTTCTTTTTTTAATCAGCCTCTGATTGATGCAGTCTTAGTTACAAATAGATTTTTCACGGGGGAAATTCAGGTAAATTTAAAAATTAGCCGATTGCAATCTAATGTGTTCATGTAATGCACTGACTGGGACAGGTGGCCTTGTTCTGTGACTTCTAAGTATGCAGGGATTTAAGTACCTTCTGTACCAAATGGGTTAATAATCGTTCACTGTGCTACACAGAAGTGAGACCAATGAGTACATTTCTTCGGAAGCTCTTGACAGAGCCAGACTGAGAGATGAGATTCTTTGGAATACGTAAGCCTTAAGAAGTGATGGTGGATAAAACTGGTAGTCTCATTAATTATGTTTTCTCAATATGTTTATTGTTTCACCTAATTTTTCCACTGGTCATGTGTTGTATTGGGGAGTGGTGCTGAGATTTCCATAAGGCCAGTATTCCTGACTCCCCCTCACCCCAGACTGGCAATTTTACAGACTCTTGCACAGGTAACGGATAATCACAGGATAGCTGAGGTTGGGAGGGACCTTTGGAGCTTGCACAGTCTAATGCAAAAGCCTGTATGCCCGTGTAAAGCTGGCCGTCCCTTGTTAACGCTGGTACACGCTGGTACTGATTCTCCTGTAAATGACATTTTTCAGTGGAAGTAATAATGCTAATATAAAAGTACAGTATGGTCGTCAAGTAAAGGTGTAGTGGTGGTAAATGCCATTATGATGCCAGTCTGCGCTACTCACTGTTGCGTTATGTGTGCAGCTGGAGATTAGGGCGATGCACGATTGCCACATAATGAAAGTTTGCACCTGGAAAAATGACATGGTAGAGACCTGGAGCTAGCTTCTCTGTCTTCAGCCTCATGTCAAATGAGGCAGTGTAAAACTAAATTCAGGTGTCATCCCCGTTACAGGTAGGCAATCTAGCTGAGCGCACATCTTTGGGCACCGTGACTCCAGAGAATGTCTCCTTTACGCACACCTCAGCGGCCTGACAGAAGCTTGTGCTGCGTTCTGCGGCTGGTGACTTCGGCTGAGGCACGGAGCGCTGTGCGGAGCTGCTGGGAGCTCTTGCCTTAGCGGCTGGCGCAGTCCACCAAATCTGCAGGGTGCGTTGGTCCAGGTGAGACGTGGGATGCCTGCTCTGCTCGGGGAACTCCACGAGGCAGCAGTTGTGCCCTGTGGAGAGCCTGGAAGAACAAGCTGTGCTTTATGAGCAATAGGAACTGATTAGTGTTTATTAGTGGCTGGTTGTCATAGCGCAAGGGCAATGGAGAGGGGCCTGCCGAACTTTGTCCAGGGCCCATCAGTCTGAAGCATTTTTATTCCACCGAGATGTGTACAAACCGTAGTCTCTATTAGTTTGTATTGGATGCCAAGCATGAAAGAGCTACAGATGCATTGGAAGAGATCTGAGCTTCACAAACAAGAGAAGCAGCCTTGAAGAGATGTTTGATAGGAACACAGTGCAAGCGCTACCCCAGCAGGAACAGCCGGCTCCTCCAACGCAGCAGGAGGCTTCACTGGCTGGCGATGCCGTTCTGCAGGGGGTCCAGGGGACGGAGCGCTGAACCCCAGTCAGCAGTGCAAGGGTGCAAGAAAGGTAAATACTGTCCTGGGAAACAGAGACACGGTTTGAGTGTGCGTTGTGTGGGGTTTGGTTTTGTTTATAAAGAAATGCAGCAGGTACTTTGTGTAAAGTTACATTCCCTTCTGCACGCTGTAGGTGTAATTGTGTGTCAGTTTTGGTCACTGCATTCTAACAGAAATAGGAATTGGTTGGAAAGAGACTGAAGGAGAAAGTGCAATCGGAAAGCACGAGCCATGATGACAGGTTGATAGCTTAGCAAACAGCCTGTGGCGCTTCAGGCTTCCTAATGCCGTACTGAAGTGCACTGTTCACGTGTCGGAAAAGTGTGCTAGGCCCTGGACACGCGACCTGTGAGAGGAAATCACCTCCTCCCATGTCTTCCTCCTGCTCTATTCTTATCAGCATTGAGCCTACGTGTAGTGGCAGCTGCTGTAATGACAATAACATACAAAGATTTATATGGAAGAGAAGCTTGCCTGGCCAACCTACCTCCACTAAGTCATACTCACAAACTCTTTAAATTATACTCTTAATGAATGTAGTTAAAAGCAATTTACTGCTTTCCCAGAAGCATTTTCCAATGTGTATATGTATATACATACATAAATATGTAAATAAAACAAGGTATAAATCACTGTCCTGTAGAAGATGACAGTGCTTGGACTCCATGTTTTAACCTTGGTTTGGCTGCTGGTCCTGCTCAAAAGAAGGTCAACGGTTTTAGACCTAGAAGGTGTTTTCTGCCATGCATTTCACTTTTACTGAACTTGGTTCAATTATTTTTCTCCTTTGAACGTCAAAATTTTCAAAATTTTGGCCACAGATTTTCATGGGGAATTTCAGGTCCTGAAATCAGATGGGCCTGAATAGATCTTCTTAAAAACTGTAGGAATGGCAGATTACATTCTTGCAAATTACCTGCTGTCACATAGCGAGGCTTAGAGATGCACAGTAATACTGACAAATACACCGAATTAAAAAGAAAACATTACAAGGTGTAAAAGAGTAAGAGAGAAATTTATTTTCAATAAGAATATCAATAACTTCATTTACACAAACTAAGGTGACCATTAATATCTTCATTTAAATAAATTCACGTTTATGCACAAACCCACAACATAAGCTAGCAAACTGTCACATGAAAACTGTACTAAAAAACTAATTAAGTTTGCTTCCATGCTAAAATCACACTAAAGAGGCATTTGATATAAATGTCCAAAGTTAACTTACGTCCTGTAGAATATTATGAAAGAACTTCCAACTTTGTAAAAACTATAACAAAAGCTACACAGGAAAAAAAACCCACTTAAAGCCAAGTTTCCTCACAAGATTTTAAGCAGCCTGTAATGTCAAACTCACTAACATGGATTTGAAGCTTTGGCTTATGCTCAAAAAAAATGCATCCATTTTGAAAGCAGCCAGACTGTTTTCTATACTTTACCAATAAAGTTGTGCTCATCTCAGTCTGGCGAACTGAGTAATGCAGCATGCAGACTGGCACGTGCTCACTAGACTGCAAGACAGTGTCACAAGTGTGCTGCTCTTAGAAAAAATGTTAAAAGGATGCAAGAAAACATGCTGAAGCAAAGCTGACCGATGACTGGCTCTTGATGATTAAGCAGATATAATGCAGTTGGTGGAATTATGTTGTAGAGTGAAGCATGACAAAATCTGACACCAAAAGTGAAGTACCTACTCATCCTGTGTATTGTAAGATAACAGGGTTTATGCTGGCAGCTCTGAAATATGGACTGAAGGCATGGGCTCTCTAACCTATGGCACATCTTAAGCCAATTGTTGGGTTTGTATTCTTTCACTTAAGGCTGTATCTTGACTGAGGCTCATAAATTTACCTTCCCTTATTTTTGAGGGGAAGATATGGAGGCAAAATTATTAAAGTTCCCTCTGCTCCACTTCCCTTTGTAATTAACTTACACTGTCAAGTCTTACCAAACCACAGAGAGCAAGCAATAGAACATTTTTAAACTGAAGCTTTTCCAGCTACAATGATCATCTTAAATCAGCAGCTGTGATCAGTTCAGTTTCTATATGAATAACTGGGTGTCTCTTCCCATCCTCCTTAACTCTGCTGACTAATGGGTGGAGGGCAATGCCAGACTGTACCAGTGAAGGAGAAAAAACTTTTTGTGACAGTAAGTGATTTAATTCTGTTAGGAAGTAGATCATGTACAGACACTCCTGAGCAAAGGGCAGCTGGTATACGGACTATTGCTGGCAGTAGAAATCTTTGCACAGCTCTAGGTCCATCTGTCTGATGTGGCACTGAGAAGGGAGTTGGAAACCAACAGATAGAAAACAGTAAACTGAAAGAAATAAGAAACAGAGACTGGGAGACTGTTGGAGAGAAGTTACGTGAAAATGAAAACTACTTTGGTCACTTAACATAGAATTTAGAGCACTGTAAGTCAATGACTTGCGTGTGGTTTCTATCGTGTAAGTAGTACCTGATGATAAAATGGCCCGTCCAAAATACAAACGGAGAGAGGAAACGTTTCTCCAGCACAAGGCCAGGGAGGCGATTTTCCAAGCTGACAAAACCTTGTTGCACAAGCTGGGTGGCGAGGGAGGTCTAAAACTCACTGGCTGGGCAAGTCTCTGAAGAGAGGCATGCGAGGCTCAGCAGGGCCTGCGGTCTAACACTGAAGCTCTTCCTCGCCCTCGGGGAGGCGCGTGCCAGCAAGAGAGCTCTGAGCGCTGGCATGGGCTGTAGAGCTGAGAACTTCTTCAAAACTGCCCCCTGTGTGGCTTGTCCCACCAACCTTGGTCTGTAACAAGGCAAACAAAGAGAACAGCAAGTTCCTCTGCTCACACTGTAGCAAGTCCCATTTGCATTCCACCCCATGGCCATGGAGGGCTGGGAACTGTTCAAAGCAGGCAGAGAACATGTGGGGTTGGGTTTTTCTTAGAACAAAAGCTATAAAAACAGTCAAATAAGGCAAACCTTTTCCTCCCCCAATTTCTAAACTGCTAGGGTGCAATCATAAAATCTGCCAGTGGTATTTATCGTACGCTTAAAGGAACAAGTCCCTAAGTAGATCCCAGGCAGGATCCTAGATCCTACCAGTAAACTTAGTGCAGTGCTGTCCATGAGTAGCTCACACTGGTTTCACTCTTTTTCCCAGTTCTACGCAGGCTGGCTAACAGATGGTATTAAAATGAACTGCTTCATTTGCTG